TGTAAAAGATTGCCAACACGGTTTTATGCCGGGGCGCTCTTGCTTGACACAATTGCTCAAGGTATTGGATATTTGGACCCATATTCTAGAACGGGGTGGTAATATCGACAATATTTACCTAGATTTTGCCAAGGCTTTCGACAGTGTACCCCACGAAAGGCTGAAAATCAAACTGGAAGGGTACGGAATTCGGGGAAATGTCCTAGCGTGGATAGAAGACTTTCTACATGACCGCAAGCAATGTGTGGTGATTAATGGCACGAAATCGTCATCTGTACCTGTAACAAGTGGGGTACCGCAGGGTAGTGTATTGGGCCCGCTGTTGTTTGTTTGTTTCATAAATGATATGCCTGACGTTGTACACTCCTCCATACAAATGTTTGCCGATGATGGCAAGTTATTTCGGGAAATTAAGAACCAAGCGGACTGTGAAGAGCTGCAGAAGGACCTCTGTGGGCTCCAGGAATGGTCGAAGGAATGGCTGCTGAGATTCAATGTCACGAAGTGTAAGAGGATGCACCTGGGGCGTACCAACGGTAAGGAGGCGTACCATATGTCCCAACGGGATGAAGAAAATGTACTAGTTGAGACTGTGTGTGAGAAGGACCTAGGTGTGTATGTTGACAATGAGCTGAAGTTCTCGGGCCATTGTGAGAAGAAGGTAAATCAGGCAAATAAATTATTGGGTCTTATAAGAAGGTCGTTCAGATATCTAGACGGTCTGTCCCTCGTGACGATCTTCAGGAGTGAAGTGCTTCCCCATCTGGAGTACTGTCACCCCGTCTGGTCCCCGAGATATGCTAGGGACTGTCAATTGGTTGAAAATGTTCAAAGGAGGGCCACCAAACTGGTGCCTGCACTTCGGCACCTCAGCTACCCTGAGAGATTGGAGCGCCTGAACTTGCCTAGCTTATACTACAGACGGGCAAGGGGGGACCTAGTTGAGGTTTATAAGCATCTCAGGGGGCACTACTCAGTTGAGTGTCCTTACTTGGAGCTGGCGGACGCTCGCCCCACAAGGGGTCACAGCTCAAGATTGAAGAAGCCGCAAGTCCGGAAAACCGTGAGGGCAAACTTTTTCGGAGTGAGGGTTGTAAACTCTTGGAACAATCTACCAGAGAGTGTTGTGACGGCACCGAGTGTGAGCTCTTTCAAGAGAAGACTTGACCAACACTGGAGCGGGTTCAGGTACATTCAGGAGCCGGTGCATGCCCAGTATTTGCCAACAGTGCGTGACAGAGACGTGACCGATCGCCCGGGCGGCTAGCGAGCCGACCTTTTGGTGAAGAATATAAAGGAAAAGAGACGTGACCGATCGCCCAAGCGGCTAACAAGCCGATCAGTGGCGAAGAGGATAAAAGTAAAGTAAAAGTAAATTCTGTGTCACTACTAAGATATAACAGTCTCTGGTGCACTCTAAGATTAAGCGAAAACGGACGACTCAGGAGTGCTGAAGTGAGAGAAAACGGACTCCTATGACGGGGTTCTCAAATAAACATACACATAGCTGTATAATGCAATATTAACCCCTAAATTGGTTAAATTGGGCAATCGGCTAAAACGGACACCCTAACCCCGCCTATTAGTCCGTTTTAACGAGGGTCGACTGTATATATATATAACACTGGTCAACATAAAAAAAAAATTATCATGGTTCTGGATCAAAACAGTCTGATTCTAGTGTAATTGTATGTGCTGAACTCAATTATGACATTCGTATAGCTGTATCAGGCTCAGTTTTCCAGAACCAGCATATCTATATATTTAGTGTACCATGCTATTCATACAGTAATTTATATGCTCATTGGCTCCACTTATGCAATTATTTTGTCCTGATTTGTGCTTTTTTGTTTGTTTCAGTTTGCTGATTCATGATATTGCATATCTACACCTGCATGATTTGTAATTACTCTGAAATTAACAAAACATGGAACGTCGCAAGTGTGTGAACGGTGCTGACAGTTTTTGCTACATATGTGGTGCCTTCACTCCTGGTAGCCTCAAGAAACCAATCACAAAAGCTGTTCGACTGAACTACAAAAGTTACTTCAAATGTCATTTGGGTGACCAAGACAAGAAATGGGCACCTCATGTAGCCTGTAAGTCTTGTGTTAACCACCTGAGCGAGTGGATGTGTGGTAAACGAAGTTCAGGAATGCCGTTTGCTGTACCAATGATATGGCGTGAACCTAAAGACCACAGTAGTGACTGCTACTTCTGTCTCACAAATATTAAGGGAATAAAAATCAAGACACGAGGCAAGGTACAGTACCCCAATATTGCTTCTGCAATCCGACCAGTACCGCACAGTGCTGAACTTCCAGTCCCAAATCCACCGACTGAACAAGAATGACTCTGAAAATACCAGGCCTAAACTATTTACTCAAGAAGCGCTTCATGATCTCATCAGGGACCTAAACTTGTCAAAAGAAAAGGCTGAAGTTTTGGGATCCAGACTACAGCAGCGTAACCTGCTAGAAGATGGAGTGCATATCACTACAGCGCGTTACTGACATAGACAGCTGTCTGCATTTTTCAAGATGGCAAACAACCTTTGTTATTGCGAGGACGCAGTATCTCTCATGCAACAACTCTACAAGTCTGAAACATACAAGACAGAGGATTGGAGGCTGTTTATAGACTCAGGAACAGACTCTCTGAAAGCTGTTCTTTTACACAATGGCAATCGGCTTCCATCTGTCCCAATAGCACACGCAACAAAAATGACTGAGAGCTATGAAACAATGAAAATTCTGTTGGCCGCTATAGAGTATGAGAAACACCAGTGGAAGATATGTGGCGATCTCAAAGTCATCAGTTTACTACTGGGCCTTCAGAGTGGCTACACAAAGCACATGTGCTTTTTGTGCTTGTGGAACAGCAGGGCTGATGCAGAGCACTATGTGAGAAAGGATTGGCCGACAAGACCAAGAGATGCGCCTGGAAGGTTTAACTGTGCTCACAATCTGCTTGTAGATCCAGAAAAGATATTTTTGCCTCCATTGCATCTAAAGCTCGGTTTGGCTAAAAATTTCATCAAAGCTATGGATCAATTCGGTGCTGGGACTCTATACTTATCTCAGAAACTAGGTGGTGTGGTTTCCGAAGCCAAGTTGAAAGCAGGTGTCTTGAATGGACCACAAATTCGTATACTAGTTAATGATAGCGAATTCACCAAAACATTGAACCCACTGGAGAAAAAAGCATGGGAATCATTTGTCAATGTGTCAAAGAATTTTCTTGGAAACTATCGTGCTGACAACTACAAAGAAATCGTAACAACCATGCTTCAGAATTATCATGCATTGGGAGCAAGGATGTCCTTGAAATTGCATTTTTTCCACTCTCATATTGAATTTTTCCCAGGTAACCTTGGAGACGTTAGTGATGAACACGGCGAAAGATTTCATCAAGATATCGCCATAATGGAGAGCAGATATCAGGGACAATTCAGTCCTAACATGATGGGCGACTATTGCTGGACACTGCAATGAGAAGACAGCAAGCTGTACAAGAGAAAGAGTAAAGTTCAGAAGCACTTTTAGAACTTCATATTTTGTCATTATAAAGGATTTGAACTTATGTTTTTTGGTACAATTTTTTATGAGCTTATCTGTGATAGGTTTAAAATTGTATCTTGCATGACGCGATAATGTTACTATATTTACTATTTTTTTTATTCTTTAAGAAAGTAGGTCTGATGGTAGAATGAAACATCCAATTAATATTCATTAATATGAAATTAGTCATGAAAGCACAGTCACATGAGATAATCTCATCTTTTGCACGACACGTGATGGAATATTAAATATTTGTACCTATTGATTTTTTTATAAAACCTGGTCTGATAGAACAAAACAAATATCAGATTCGAATTCAGCAATATGAAATTAGTTGTGTGAGCATGATCTCATATGTGAACCATTTTGGCTGTTGACCAGTGATAATCAACGACCTCACCAGCCAGGATTCGAACCCTCAACCTACTGCATGGGACCAGGGAATGTTACCAACCATACCACAAGAGCACTAAAAGCAGTTCTAGACTCTTGTTATATTTCACACAAAGCCTGTTCATCAAGCTGATGGCGCCGTGAACCTCTCATTGGAAACTGCCCGTGCTGCTTATGTGGATGTGCATTTTACCAAATCCAGCTGGTATGAAACACGAGGTACATACTTCATTTTTAGTCCATGGTACCTCGTGTTTCATACCAGTTGGATTTGGTAAAATGCTACTGTATATACTGTACAGCAGCACTCCTAGGAAGAAAGGCGCTCCCAGAGGCACTCCTAGAGGATGGCAGCACCCCCAGTGGCACTCCCAGGGACGGCAGCACCTCCAGGGGTCCTGCCAGGGGCGCTGGGACCCTAATGGTTCATGCCAGGGACAGTGGAGCTCTCATGGGCCCTCCAAGGGACTACAGAGTCTCCAGGGGCTTCCCCAGGGACAGCAGTGTCCCCAGGGGCTCTCCCAGGGATAGCAGTGCTCCCAGAGGCCCTCCCAGGGACAGTGGCGCCCCTTGGGGCCCTCCCAAGGACAGCCCCGATCCCAGCGACGGCAGTGCTCCCAGGGGCTCTCCTAGGGGCCCTCCCGGGGACAGCGGTGCTGTCAGGGGCCCTCTCAGAGGCGGTGGTGCCCTCAGGATCCATGCCACTTACATTGGCGCTACCACTGTTACATTCCTTATACATACATCATATATGTATCATACATGTATCTTACATGTATCATACATGTAACTTACATTATCATACATGTATCACACATTCATTATACATGCATCATACATTCATTATACATACATCATATATGTATCATAGATGCATACATACATACATACATACATATACACACAGCACTTAATTTCTATTGTTTTATGTGGCCAAAATATGAACACCTCTAATAAAATCCTGAATCCACTCCTGATGTGGGTACAGGGTACCATAGTTTTTGCATACTGTATTGTAATGAAGTGGTTAAGAATTAAAACACTGGGTTTATCTTATTGCACCAAGGCTATATTGTATTTGCGTAATAAGAACTAATCTCTCGGCTATGATGGACTCGATACAAGTAAAATACTGTCAGACTAATTAAGTCATCACACAATCCAAGTTAGAGGAACTTCTGCTCTGAATAACAAAGATATTTGTCGTTAAAGGTATGGTCCTTGTCTATGGCAAGTGACTCCTATTATGGAAATTGTTACAAATTTTTTTACTGTTATGTTTAAAGATTTTTTCTTTGCTGCAGGCATCAAAGCAAACTACATTGGTAAATGACTACAGGTATATGTATGACAAAAAAGAAAAGACATTATATTCTCTTTCATAATAAACCATTGAAATACATCTACAATCGCCCAAATGAATGATGTCACAATTTACAAAACTTTTCAATCAGAAAATGGTTTCTGGCAACTACTGTACATGATTTGCTTTTATTATTTTTTGAGGTAGGATACAATTTTATGATATTGTAAGAAATATTTAATAAATGCTGGAGCAAGTTTTGATAAGAATACTGCATTTTAGGAAAACACATGTACTGAAAATGTTGGTATACTGTACTGTATTTTGAATCAAAATAATTTGACATGAGATTATTGCTCAGGAACAATTGGGAATACTTTATGGAGTTAAAATCAAATGTAAAAATGAAAAAGGTATACATTAATTGTGTTTAGCTGAATTGAGTATTGAATAAAAAAATATGAATTAATAATATTCATACTAACCACATTTAAGCCATGTCTTTACTGAATATGTAAACAAATATTTTCCATATTCACCACCTCGATGACATAGGGGGGAAACATTCATAAAACAAAGCTTTAAGCTTTAGAGGCTGTAGGATTAAATAAATGTTTATCGTTACTGCATTTCCCCTAGTATTTATAAGAAAATTAATCGTCATTTATACTCTGAAAATATTTACACCAAAGAATAAGATATAAAACATTAACCCTTAAGCCCCAGGTTAGGGTGCCCCTGGCAGTACTCCCCACTCCGGGGTAAATCGAGAATTTTTTTTAATATAATTTTTAACCATTTTAAAGGATAAAACAATAAAAAATAAGTAAAAAACAAAAACAAAACTATATATTGAGCCTCTAGAAACTTTCCTGGCAGTGCAGGGGGAGGGAAATAAGGGGACAGCTTGTTATAATGGCGAGCGCTCGTGGTCACCTATACACTTGACAGCTAATTTTAGCTTGCCTTTTGCATAAAAGCTACACAGAGGTGTCATTTTGCATCTTTGCCTGCATTTTTACCATTTTTTTTAGCTTGTCTTTGCTTAGAAAAATCTTCCATCTTTTTCTCCAATTTCTTTTCCATTTGTTTACGCTGGACTTCACGAGGTTTCTTGGATGGTACGCCACTGCCAGGGTATAAAACTCCCTCCTTTGTTATCATCTGAAATATGAAAAATTACATTTAGGACAAAAAATATACTTACTAATTAATATACAGCAGTTTTCACCCAAACTTGTCAACTGTTTAAGCTCCATCTGAATATTACAGTGGAGATGGGGTTCAGGAGAATGTGTTTCTTAACCCAAAGTTTTAAATTCTGGTTAAATTTATTACAATCTTGGGCCTTGACAAGAAACGTGCATTAATTCCACATAAAGAGAATGTTTAAAACACTTCATTTGGATTTCTGGTGTGTTGTAGTTTGAGAGAGCTAGTGCATCATCTGAGGGTTATAAATATCCTTGCATGTCTAATGAAAGCTTTTAATTAAAAAGTTGTCCTGTGGAAAATATTTGGAAAATGTTTTGATCATTGTTCATTTCCTCACTCAAAATAGCATTTGCATTTCATTCCTTTACTTTCTCTTCTTTCTTTCATTCTGAAATTACTTTTAATATCCGTGAAATGTCATATTCATTATCAATTCACTCTCGATGACCAAATACTGCTAGAATGAAGCAAGACAGTCTCCAGGAATAATGAGATACTGTACCCTCTCTTATCCAGCTATCCATTGACCGTTAACTCACAATTAACGGCAGTTTAAAAAAAATTATTTGGCAAACCTCCAAATTCACGGCACATACAACAGCCATATAGTTGTCCAGTTGGCCCCAGACCCAATTTTACCCTTATTTTATGACATTGAAATATCAATCACCCCATAAAAGAACAATAAATTGAAGCAAAACTTCAAATAAAAGACTGAAGTTTGATGGCAGCTTATCTATTTGGACTGAAGCTAAAACTCATACTATGTCCTGACAGACATATGATTCCAAAGCTAAAGAGTTCTGTCAACTTATTTACTCTATACAAAATTGCTTGTTTTTATTTTGTTCTCTTAATAAAATATTTATTCAAGGTACAGTATTTTCTATAAAAAAAGAGGAATAAATCATTCAAACTTTACGTAAAGATGCCCATATGGGTGATGTCTTACAGCTGTAGCATGGTGTTGCTAGATATGGTAATGGTATTGTACCACAGTTGACAACTAGTCATATTTTCTCAACCATTATTTCCACCACTAGTCATTTCGGAAATCAGTCTATTCTTTCTCTGGGTACTCCAGTTCCCTTTTGTACAAACAGTGGACAATGAGTGTCATAACTAGGAACAGACTCAATCTAATCAATTGATCAGTCTATTAGTCTGACCACCTAAATGGCTAGTAAGTTGACAAATGGCAAAAATAATAATTTAGAAAATAAATAATTAACTGCTAGCTATGGTACAATACCATCATCGATAGGCTAAACACTATGTCAGTGACTAGCATTATATACAGAAAAATGGGTAATAATTAGGTAGCCACAAAATAACCCGAGGCCACCGTACTAATCTCTGTCCGACTCATTTCTCCACTACTAATTTCAGAACACCACTTGCCTACTATTAACCTCAGAGAACCACTTGCACATTACTAACATCAAAGCCCTACTTGCTTAATATCAATATCACAAACTCATTTTGTCCATAACATAACTCTCAGTTCATTGATTCACTATTAATCTCAGTCTCAGTTCTTCATTACTTATCTCAAAGCTCCAACTGGTTACTGTTAATGACACAAGTTTCTTAATGGTGCTACATTTTAACCAGTTACATTAATAAAAGGTATCATGTAACACCCAGTCTACTTAATAACAACAATTATAAAAAAATTATATACAGTACCTGTACCTATAATACCATTCAGTATGCCATAAATGAAAAATAAACTCATTTATTACCTTTTGTGCTAAATTAAATTTATACAAATAAATAAATTGCTGTATTCAGGGGTCCCCGACTTATGAGCGTATGACTTACAAACTCTCACCGATACGAACGAGGTTAAACTTGAAATTTACAGTACTGTACTGTATTTTATTTATCTGATGACTTTTTTACTTTCATTTACTGTATTTTGTCATTCTATTTCTTCTTTTGTCTTAGATTAAGTGATTTTAGATGTACATAAGGACTTAGGCTATGATATCGTGGGATTTTAAGCATTGTTCTGTAAGTACAGTATGCACATAGCATGTGTTCCAACCTACGTACAAATCCGACTTAAGAACGTCCTCAGGAACGAAACCTGTTCGTAGCCCGTGGAACCCCTGTACTTTACTGATACACCTTCATTTAAATTTAATACATCAACCATTAATATTTACAGTGTGAACAAAAACTGTCAGCTATTTTTAATACTATATACTGTACTTACCATCCTGGCATGTTGACGAGCCAGATCACCACATCCATGCACCTCCGCCATGTGATGTGTCAAACAAAATGTGTTGCGGCAAAAGGGACAAAGTTGAAATATCACAGTTGTGGGCGACTTACATTGCGTATGGGAGCAGGTGTTGTTCTCCTACAAAAACAAATTTACAATAAGCTTATGCAAACATAAGTTTACATACAGGCAGACCTCAATTTATAAGAGAGTTATGACCCTGAAAATCCTTTTCTTTATGGCTTGTTTTCATGAAACAAAGCAGAAGCATCCCAAGTTTATTACCACAAGCAATACCAAATAATTATCCACAGTAGTGATGAAGAACAGGAAATAGAAAGATTTATTGCTCGGAAAGGCTAATGGTCACTGTTTCAGGGTTAACACTGCCACAAGTTCTGCACATTTATAAACCACAGGGAAAGCAGGAATATTATTTATTTTTTCAATATGCCTTAAAAAAATTGATCAAGAATACTGTAAAACTAATAAATTTTTGGCATTGCAAAGCTCATTAAAATTTTCTGAGTCATTAGGACAAGTAATGACCATACTGTAATTACAACTTTTTGACCATAGATCCCTAATCAGCATGTTGAGAATACCTATACTGTACTGAGATTTTGAATAAAACAATAAAATTTCCATAAATTTGGTGAAGAAGGCACGGTGAAAAGCCTTGTGAATAGCAGATAATTATGTAAACTTTGTGCATCAGCTATAGACTAATATTGCTCATAATTAAGAATTATAGATCTTAGCTTTATGTTCCATCTAGGTTTTAGGAGATGCAGCTGCTGGGAAGTCAAGGCCATTACTGAAGGGTTGAGGCTGGAACCCAAAATGACTTAATCACTTAATAAGTGGCGTGCACACATAACAATGTTACATCATGATTCATTGCTTTCTACCTTAACTGGTAACACTAACTACTAAAGATTCCAGTGTGGACTTGGGTGTTCAAGGGAAAGTGAAACTAATTAATTATTCTTAACCATTATGGCTAAGGGTAGACCTAAGCTCAGACTCACTAACTTTGAGCTATGGTGTATGAGTTGCTTAGAGATCACTTCATCGTTAAAAATTACCCCAGCACATAATTTCGTTTTTCTTTAATAAAATACACTGCCTATAATTCTGGTTACAATGGCAAACCTTTGCTAAAATATGGTGGGCCACAAAAACCAACCTCTTTATGGTAATTACAATATACTATTGTATTACTCACACTTCTCTTGATCTTCTAAGTACTCAATTTCAATAATGCCATGTACAGCATTGAATTTATGCTTACCTTTGTAAACTGTTCAATAATGCTATCAAAATCCTCCTCTCCATCATCATTTTCACGGCTGATTTTTTCCTTTGGATTCTTCTTTTTTGTACTCTTTTGCGTACTCTGTTAAAAAATATAATTTAGCCGAAGTTTAAGTAAAAATAAAGGAAAAAGAGAATGCTAACCTGTTTAAGAAAACCTTACAAGTGCAAAAACATAAAAAAAAAATATATATATACTGCACTGTAGTTCATCTAGTAGACTGAAGAAGCGCTAACTCCTCAAAATAATAAGCTATTCTCTGAGTGGAGAATATACAAAGAGCTAGATAATCAAGACCATAAGGGCAAACCCTCAAAGAGGAGTCTTGCATGTGGAGCTAATTAATGAAGTGAAGGTAAATCCCCAAGGTGGGGAGGGGGAAGAGGGAGTTGAGACTTGACACTGATGATAAATTATAAAGCATAAATCAATCTCATCCTGTCTAAATTTTTAACTGATTTGATGAACAGATGATTTTATAGGAATACAGTATTTGTAAGATATTTCAGAGAAATGTACAAACTGTAACAGGGTGGGGGATGGGGTTGGAAATAGAAGTGAGGAGCTGTATGTTACTCTGAAGAGCTTGACTTTTTTTTATGACTTTAATAGACTATATAAATTACAGTACCTTAAAAGTCTCATAATGGCAACTAACAAAGCACTAGGTATAGCTTATGTGCAATTTATTAACTTTTATACAATACTATAGCAGAGTTTATGTGTAATAGAGTACTTAGGTATACTGTATTAAAGCACCCCTGCACCTCCTCAAATCCACTGGTGACTACTGTTAAACTTCTGAACAATGCTTTTTTATGGCGGGCGAAAAATTTTACTACTTTGTTTTCTATTTAGAAGCATTTATAATTTACAACTCATAAAAATTTTGCCATTCAGTATTTTGGATGAGCTAGAACCCCTATTGAGCCAAATTATGGACGTATTACTGTAGTTTTATATACAGCATGTCAAAAAAAAAAAATATATATACAGTCAACCCTCACTTTACGCGGTTAATTCAACCCACAGGGTACCGCGGAAAGTGAGAAACGAGTAAAGTGAACAACATAACATATGGGATTAATTGAAATAGAGACCGGCTGACCCCCAAACTCCACTTTTTCTGACACAATACCTATGTTCTAGTAAAAATAACATCTTAATTTTATGATGGTACATGCACACAATTAATACTTAAGAGAAATAGAGAAATACAGTCGCCAAGTTAATGTCCATTCAAATAATGGACTCAACTCCCTCCCCCTCTTCTCACACTACACTCGCTGGCTCTTCCCTCTCTGAGAAATTTTTTGGGGAAACCACTAGATTTTAAGGTATAGTAATAAATAATACCTCAAACTAAAGTTAGGATAATATAATTGACATTGCTGGATTCCTTGTAAGACCAGGAATATTTTGAATATAAATGTCATATATTTTGCACAAAAGATAACAAATTTCCTCAGAGTAAACAAAATACTTACATTAGATCTAAAATTTGTATGTCTAATGCAAAATCTATGATGTTTATATTCAAAATGATCATCAAATTGTAAGAATTCCAGCAATGTAAATTATATTCTGGCCGGGTAATTTGTATGAATTTTATGAGCTAAAACAAATATCTTCAGTTAATAAAAAAAAAATATTCTTCACGACACTATCAGTCAATCAAAGTACCCCAACTTGCCTCCCCCCCTCTTCCAACGCCAGATGGTCGGTCGGTCCCAACCCACCCCCCCCACCCTCCCTCCCTGCCAGAGAAATGTTGGGTGAAAAAACTAGATTTTAACTTTTAGTAATAAAGAATACCTCAGACTAAAGTTAGGATAATATAATTGACATTGCTGGATTCCTTGCAAGACCAGGAATATTTTGAATATAAATGTCATATATTTTGCACAGAAGATAACATATTTACTCAGAGTAAACAAAATACTTACATTAGAACTAAAATTTGTATGTCTAATGCAAGATCTATGATGCTTATATTCAAAATGATCATCAAATTGTAAGAATTCCAGCAATGTAAATTATATTCTGGCTGGATAATTTGTATGAATTTTATGAGCTAAATAAAATTATACTTCACCCGCGTAAAGGGGTACACGCACCACGGAATGTGAGCATCCCGGGTTCTGGCAGGATACCGCGTAAATGTGGGGCCGCGTAAAGTGAGGGTTGACTGCAATCCAGGGGATGACTGACTGTATATATATATATATATATATATATATATATATATATATATATATATATATATATATATATATATATATATATATATATATATATATATATATATATATATATATATATATATATACAGTCATCCCCTGGATTGCAGTGAAGATTAACTTTTTTATAACCAATATGTGTACAACTTACCTTGTTGGTTTTCTCTTTGTGAGTGGCTTTCATATTCTTCTCACATTGTGCACTATGGATGCTGTAGTTCTGCTGTAAGATGTCCTTCCCACAACTACAACAATGTTTTTTCATGGAGCCAGCTATATTCTTTAGTTCATTTTCTTTATTGCCACTGTTAGAAGTGTTTTTATCATTACAGACTGGGACAATTACTTCTTCATATTTCCCTCCCACAAAACGCGTACGAACTTTTGTATTGTTGCCATCTAATACTTTAGTTTTTGGTATGGCACCATTTTGAACGCTACTTTCTTTACTGATTTCACTTTCCTCTGTTCCTAATTTCCCATTAGCTTTTTCCTCCTTTTTTTCTGTGGCTAGTGTCTCATCATTTTCTTTACCGATATGCTGTTTTACCTTTATATTTTTCTTCTGCACAACAACATGTCGTTTCTTACCTTCACCCTGACTCTCATGCTGCAAGTCAAACTCCTCACATATCTCATGAATCAAACCCCTTTCAAAAGAATTTATCTTGGAAGAAAAGTTGTAAGTTTCCTGGGAAGACTTGAGAAAATTGTCAATAATGGCAATGTATTCTCTTCTTTGACCACTAGTTTCCTCTTCAACTGCTTCATTGTTCTCTTGTTCAGGATGTTCTGATATGGTCTCGCTCTTCCTCTGCACAATAATATGTCGCTCTTTACCTTCACCTTTACTCTCGTGCTTTAGGCCAAGTTCGTCACAAATTTCATGGATCAAGCGCCTTTCAAAAGAGTTTAAAGAGGGAGGAAAGGCATAAATCTGGACAGATGATTTGAGAAAATTACCAAGAATAGCTTCATATTCTTTCTTTCTTCTAATATTTTCTTCCTCACTTGGTGGTTCATATTTTTTCTTATCATTTGGTTTATCCTGTCTCTTGTTCTTTGAATATGGTTGTTTGGGTCTTTCTTTCTTCTCAGTTTTTGGCTTCCACACAATACATTCTGGTGTTTCCACTTCAGTTGTCTCCAATTCTGGAAACAAATATTTGAAGAATTAGAAATTATTTTGTTTTAAAAATACTGGACCAGCATCCAGCCATTTAGCACAATGACATGCTCAGCTGAACCTGTACTATACAGTTGTACAAAGAAATAATTCCAAATAACACAAAATCATCTATTTTCTTTACTTCTTTCTCAGTTTTATGTGAAATCCCACAAAAGTATTGCAAGAAGAGAGTTGAAATAAAATTGCCGGTAAATACACTATTTACAAAATGAATCTTTAAATCTCCACACTGTCCCACAACATTTCATATCAATACCTATACTGTATTTCATTTTAGATTTTATATGTATTATTTTTTGCATTTCTGACTTACGACCTGGATTTGGGTCCCTAACCCCGTCGTAAGTCAGGGAGGAGCTGTATTGGCTTTTCTTTCTTAAATAACAGATAATGAAATAGATTCTTCCACTTACCATGCTGATATTCATGTGCTGTCCTGACCTGACCATGTTGCGATACATAATCTGTGAAGCTCTTAAGGAAGGCATGCTTGCTAACTGTATCAGTATCACAAACAACAGTCAGGTGTCGCCTTGCTCGAGTCACTGCCACATTTAGTCGACGATCTTCACTTAAGAATCCCACCATACCTGAAATAATGTCACAAAAGATAATACAGTATTAGCCAAAATGAATTCATGATTAAAGACAATTTTCACCATTTGAGAATTTGGCTTAACATACTACAGGTATATTATATTCATTCCTAACAAATAAGTATACATGGGTTTGTGGTTTACAGAAATCAAATGAAATATGAAAAATTCAATTATAGTATATATTCATAATGAATATTTTGTAACAGAAATGAAAACTGGTGGAATGATCCTGAGAATCCATTTTATCATCAAGTCAAAATTGAGCAAATTTGTATATTAGTAAGTCTAGAGAGTTGGATCCCAGGCCCTAGAGTCCTAACTTGTGTGACAGGTATCTATTATTTTCAGTAAAAAAAATCATCACCAGAGATGAGACAAGTGCATACATATAACTGAGGCACACAAGAAGGTAGATTAGAGGCCCCCAAGTGGGCACCACCCCCACAACTATACACTACTCATGTGAGATATTATTATGTGAGCCACTATAATATCATACCACAAGTTTAAGATTTAGATTTTAGACTTCTAAAAAATAAAAAGTATATAAACATTTATGTAGGTGTTTGTGGCCAATGTACATAAACATTTGTTTATGTGTTTCTGGCCAATGTACAACTTGTACGAGTATATAAACACTGCAATTTCATGGTGGCATTTTCAAATGTTTGCATAGGCTTGAACATCTGAGGTAAATTTGGAGGGAACCAGCACTCTGCCTCCATTTTTCATTGGCTACACAACGCTCTACACTGTTAGTAAGGTAGTGCGGATATGTATTTTTTTTCTTTTAGCGAATTGTTAAGAAGTATGTGGTGTACTAGTAATTTTATAAAATCAATAAAAGTATTTCTTAATAAGTAAGTAATTTATCATGTGGTATGAATGTGATCAGTTGCCTCACCATGCCAGCTAATCGCTACACAAACCCCTCTACACTCACTCTCCCTAAACTGTGAGGGATAATATGCAAATGGTGCTAAGAAACTCCTCCATACAGCCCAAAAGCTAAATAAATATTTTATTTTGTCGTATTCTACTCTTTTATTTATTAAGAACGTTTCATATATTTGTAAGACTTGGAAAAAACGATGGGTTTCTTGTTTGGGATGAACGAAGCGATATCCGCGGCTGCACGTTAAGGATTGCCTAAAATAGACCAAATCTGACACATTGAAGTCCAAACTGGAAGGGTTTACTATATATGACCCCCCCCCCCCTTGCAGGGACATAAAAAGTATTCTAAGTATCTTCAAGTATTGATGCACATAAATGCTATCCATGTTATGGATTATTTTGAACCTGTGATAAATATAGCCACTTTATTGTCATACATACATAAAAACACACACTTGAGCATATACAGGTATATATCAATCTTTACACACCCACCCCACAAATGAAAGCCAAAAGAAACTGTGTGTGAACAACAAGAAGGAACCTGACATAGAATTGGCTAGAGAGCTGGTGGTGTGTATTGGTATGAGTGGAAGTGCAATGGAGTAGATGGTAGACTGCAGGATGTTCCTGAAATTAAGTGTTCCATATGTGCATGTAACCATGTGCTCACAACAAAGCTGGAGAAACCTAATACAGCATTGGGGATACGTTCCTGGATTGCATCAATGAGTTATGTTACCTAGGTGACATGATCAGTGCCGGTAAGAGTGCTAAAGCCTGCCCAGTTGCAAGATTCATACAGCAGTGGCTGAAAGAAATTTGGGGAGCTGCTGCCTTTATTGACAGCAAGAGAACCTTCCATCCATGTGAAAGGAAGAATGTATGCGAATGATGAGAGAAGGGTGATGTTATATGGCAGCAAAATATGGGCAGTTAAAAAGGTTGACCTTAACTAGTCTTGAGCTAGCTGAAATGAGAATAGTGAGGTGGATGCATAATGTGACACTGAAAGAAAGGAGGGCCTGTTCTTAGATAATAGGAAAACTGGGTAAAGTATTGAGAATATTGGGGAAGTTCTGCTTAAGGGCAGGCTGAGATAGTTTGGGTATGTGGAGAGAATGGATGAGTCCAACTGGGGCAAATGGGGCATGAGCTTAAATGCGAGGAAAAGGAAAGCCAAGGGTAGGCCAAGAACAACATAGGGGGAGGTTGTAAGAAATGACAGTTAGGAACCTGACAAGAGACACTGCAAGATGCGATACAACACGGAGAACTGTCAAGAAGTTATGATGGCTAACCCACGAAAGCATGGAAAATGGCCGTAAATTGTTGATGTTAATGAACCTTAGTTAAATTGTTGATCGGCGAGGAGGCCTCTCTTAATACTGGAAGAACATAAAATGATCCAAAACTGGTGCACTGCTGAGTGGTTGGCACATTTTTCAAGTGATGTGATGGTGGAAAAGGAGGAAGGCTTTCACCTTTCTTGCCAACTCAACATGAAGGAGTATCACTGAATGTAATGTCCCCTTCTTACTATTATCTCATATTCTGCAACTCTACTACTTTTAAAGAAAATAAAATGAATGGATAGATGGATAGACAGACAGATACCAAATTGAAGGATAGATGGATAGACAGACAGATACCAAATTGAAGAAAATGTCAAGCTTGAGCCATAAAACTACATGTACAACAGTAGAAAGGTTTGAATTTATGGTTAAGTACATCCAGAAGAACATAAAAACACCAACTAGCGACCTCAGAAACTAATAATTGGCGAGTACAGTAATTAGAATTGAGAAAAATGTCATTAAAATATTCCAAGTGTCATTACGAATACCAATTATTCCGCAATTGAACTGTCGATACCATATTCAGAATCAGCATGCCCAAGAGTACCTATACTAAGATTTTGAACAAAATCGCATATATCGCAATTTGTCTCAACCTTGAAAAAATCTACAAAGGGGCATCCTTACGTGTTTTTTCACCCAAATATGATTTTATCTCAAACTTGAAATTTGGTGGGATTAATTTCAGTAATTAAGTACATCCAGAAGAACTTAAAAATGCCAACCAATCACCTTGAAAAACGAATACAGGGTATTTCGTGAATTACTGAAATAAGCATTGAGAAAAATGTCATTAAAATATTCCAAGTGTCATTACGACCGCTAATTATTCCGCAATCGAACTGTCAATAATAGATTTGGAATCGGCATGCTCAGGAGTACCTATACTGAAATTTTGAACAAAATCTCAAATTTGTCTCGTCATTTTTGGCCCAAAACCACCAAAACTTAAAGTCTTACACCTTAAAATTTTTTAGACCAATATATACTTTTTTCTACGAATTGAAATTTAAGGGTTTTAAATAATTAAGAACTTTCAGAATAACACACAAACCCTAACTCACACCCTGGAAACCCATAGTTGATGAGTAATTAGCATTGAAAAATGCCAGTAAAATCTTTCAAGGGTCATTTTGACCACTAATTACTCTCCAATCGAATTGTGGACCACATAGTCATAATCAGCAAGCTCAGTTGTACCCATACTGTGATTTTCAGCAAAATCTAATTTTTGGCCCAAAACCACCAAAAATGTAAGTCTTACACCAGTGGTGTCAAACTCAATACCTTTTGAGTGCCAATTCTTATTTTAGTTACCTTCTTCAGGGCCAACACAAGTGCTATATCACATATTTGCAGGATTGAAGTTTACAGCTTCACACATTGCCTTACCTGGCTTACCAGGAATACCTCATTTGGGTGTGTCTGATCTTAAGTATGTAAAATTCATTTTACTAATAAACATGATTACATCTACAGTATTTCTTTCTTAATTTCACGGGATGATAAATTTTACAGTCATTCCGCGGGCCACAGCTGACCATCCCAAGGGCCACATTTGGCCCGCGGGCCATGAGTTTGACACCCCTGGTCTAAATGGCCGTAAAATGGGAAAATTGGGTGTTGGGTCTTGGGTGCCTGGAACCAATTAGAATAAATCCCATAGGTTCTGTACTTTCGTTATCGCGTTTTTCGTTAGCATGCACTCGGCGAGGTCCCAATTAGGCGTGATAACCAAGGGATGACTGTACAGTACATCCAGAAGAATTTAAAAATGCCAACCAATCACCTTGGAAATCAATAGTTAGTGAGTACTGAAATAAGCATTGAGAAAAATGTTATTAAAATATTCCAAGCGTCATTATGACCACTAATTATTCCGCAATCGAACTGTCAATACTAGATTCAGAATCGGCATGCTCAGGAGTACCTATACTGAGATTTTGAACAAAATCTCAAATTGGTCTCGGCACTGAAAAATTTTGTAAGGGAGGACCCTTATGTGTTTTTTCAACCAAATATGATTTTCTCTCAGACTTGAAATTTGGTGGGATTAATTTCAGTAATTAAGTACATCTGGAAGAACTTAAAAATGCCCACCAATCACCTTGGAAACAAATAGTTGGTGAGTACTGAAATAAGCATTGAGAAAAATGCCGTTAAATATTCCAAGGGTCATAACGAGAAACCAATTTCCCCATTGACTTCCATTATATAATTGGAGATGCGTTTCCAAGGAAATTTTTTCGGTAAAAAGACGTAATTCAAGCACCTTTATGAATAAAAATAAATTATTTTTAACACATACATTGATTATTTTATGATATAATATGATAATAAATATACAAAACACTTGAAACTTTGAGGTTGTGTTCACGATCAGGATCGTTAGTAGCAAAGATTTGCAAAGCTTCCTCTACAAATGCAACCCTTTAGCCAAATGAATTGTTGTCAACTCAAGTGTGATGGGAAGTAACTTCTATACCGTCCTCTTCCTGTTCCAACAGCATCAGATCTTCATTAGACAGATCTTCCCTATGGGATTATAATACCTCAACCACATCATCTTGCATGACTTCTTCAAAGCCTACATTACTGTATTTGCAAGTGTCCCAATGTCTTGCTGAACTTTATTAATGGTCTCTGCTTGGGGAGAACCTTGAAAGTTGTTGATGCACTCTGGCCATATGTTCTTCCACACACCATGCATAGTTGAATGCTTAACTTCACCCCACGACTTGGCCATGTTCTCCACGGCATTCATGATGTTGAACTTTTTCTAAGTGTTCCTAATTGTTGGTTTATCCTCCCCATCAATTGCGGCGATGACCTGTTAAAATGTTCTTCTTAAATCAAAGGCCTTAAAGTTTGCTATCACACCTTGATCCATTGCCTGGACCAAGGCAGTGTGTTCTTGGGTATATATTCCACTCACATATTATCAGAAAGATCATTCAGGCTTGGTGCATTATCTAAGAGGAGCAAACCTTTGTTGGATATATTTTGCTTGTTACTGTACCTTTCAACAGCAGGGGCAAAATAGTTTGTGAACCAGTCTTGAAAAAGGCTAATGGTCACCCAAGCTTTCTTGTTTGAATGCCAAATCACTGGTAGTTTAGGCTTGGCATAGCCCTTAAAACCCCTTGGATTTTCAGAATGGTACATGAGTAGGGGCTTAATTTCATATCACCAGCAGCATTTCCTCCCAAAAGAAGGATTGAGGATTGTTAGACAATCTTTTAAAGCTTTAAAATCTTGTGCCGTCTTTTCTTCTTTGGAAATGAACGACCTAGCAGGCATGCGCTTACAAAAAAGTCCGGTTTCATCCACATTGTACACTTGTTCTGGTGTGTAGCCGCCTTCAACAATAATTTTCTTCAGTTCTTTCAGATATTTACGTGCAGCTTCTGTATCAGCACTGGCAGCTTCACCGACCATCTTAATGTTATGCAACTGAAGGCATTTCTTAAACCTTTCAAACCATCCTTTACTAGCCTAAAAAGGTTTTGCATCAGACTAGCACCTTGTTCTTTCTGCAAATCCTCATACAAACTTTTTGCTTTCTCCTGAATGATCATCGTGCTTAGCGGCACATTCTGTTTAGTTTGGTCTTCAATCCACAAATTCAGGAGTCTTTCCATATTAAGCATCACATCACTTCTATGAAAAAACAACGTACGGCCAGTTAAAGGAGTATGCGATTGAGCACTTAACCTAATTTTGCCTTTATTATCACGTATTGTGCACACTGTAGACGTAGCAAGCCCTAATGTTTTTGCAATCTGGCAAAGTTTTTCTCCCGCATCAAACCTCCGTAAAACATCAAGCTTAATGTCCAATGTAATTCCTTTACGGGATCTTTTTGCACCACTGCTCTCACTTGAACTTGATGGCAGCCTCTTTCCACAGTAATACAGTCCTGAATACAGAAGTAAGTAAGTGTCGCGAGACCAAGCGCAGAAGACCGCACGTGAGTTCAAACAGAGCAGGTTGGCGTGGTATGGGTGAGTGGCATCCCTTCTGTACAGTCTTGTAGCAACCACCAAGAAATCCACATGAAATAAATTTTATAATTTGTGATTTTATCTAATAGTACAGATATTGGAAAAAAATATGTATATATTATTTATACATGGGTACCCAATTTCCATAATGGCTAATTTTTTGTCCGTATCCCAGATATATGGGTCATAATTTACAAAATCAGTAAGAGCAAATTTCCATAACCTGGGTTGCCGTAACCCGGGGGATGCCTGTAGTAGCTAATAATAAAAAAGAAAGAAAAAAGTGTGTTACTCAGAAAAGTGCCGTGTTCCAATTGCTCACCTTGTTTGTTAGAACGAACAAGAGACATAATGACTGCCTCTTTCTCTCGTCCCTGAAAGCCATCAACCGACCGCACTTCCACGCCAGGGTGATCAGTTCGAAGAAGGCTGCGCACCAGTTCAACCTGTGAAAACATTACACATAGTAAAGCAATGGATATTTGAAAGTACAGTACAGTATAAAGATGAAAAAGGGCCAAATTATATCAAGAATTTTTTTCTTATTAAAATAAACATCCCACAGTTTAAGTCATTTCAACATATGTACTGTATTCTGAAATATACTCAAATGTAAATCCTGCATCTGAATGTACCTGTACTCAATCCTTTTATCTTATTTTTGGCCTTACCTCGACTCAATTCAGTCAATTACATTCCTTAGCAATACAAATAACTTTATTAAATACTTCATTAAACACTAAATTATTTGTAATTTCATAAGGTTTAAGTACTGTACTCCATCTCATGGTCACCCTATTAGTATCCAGCCTACCCACCATCACAATCAATAGTACACTGTCTATCTGCCCTCTTAAATGACGGTATCCAATTTACACACTCAACCTACCAGTGTCCAGTCCAAACACCCTCTTAAGCATTAGTGTCTACAGTAATTAATCCACCATCATAAATATTCGACACCAAAATTGGTCAACCAAATTAACTTCATTAACCCGTCTATCCTGTTCTTAAGTACAGTACCATGTACTGTATTAGTATTCAGTCTATGTGGTTCCTACATTAACGAGCAGAATGGACGAGTTGACGGTTCTGGGTAAACACAAGAGATACACTCTGCCACGTTCGTAAAGTGATACGGTATAAATAATTTGTGTTAAAAGTTTAAAGTCCTGCAATAATAGTCGAGATAAGTTTATTTCTCTAGAAACAGGACCGCCATTTGCAATGACGTCACTAGTTTCAGACTCACAGCTGCAGTGGTAGGTAGTAGAAAGGACAGCCTCTTCAGTCCCCAAATGCCACGTTCAGGTAAGTTTTTTTTTTTTTTTCATGGTCTAAGTGGTGGATATTTCGTAAGTGAAGAAATGTGCCGTGAAGAGCAGCTTCAAACATAGGTTGGATATATGAGCGATAGGGGTTGGTGTAAATGGGACTGCCCAGTATGAGCCAATAGGCCCGCTGCAGTTTCCTCCATTCTTATGTTCTTTTGGATAAAAAAACACCCATGTTCACACCAGCTAAGCTGTTTTGTACTCTTACCTGGTAGACTTTGTCTTTTTTTTTTTCAGTGCATTTACAGAGTATATCAATACTAGATGGAGATACGAGTAAATTTAGAAGTGATGACATTGTCTGGACTTTGTTTTGATAATGCCAAATGCTAGCTAAACATGAAAACATAATGCTGTTATTGTTTTGATGATTCACTAATAAACCACTGGGATATATCATACAGTAATTTATATTAATTAATAGGTAAAATTTTACTTTAACTACCATAAGTATTTGGATGCTTAGATTTGAGTTAGGTTATACAGCTCCTCTCCGGCTTACGACCTACTTGGCTTACGTCCACCCTCACTTACGACCTGCCTCAGTCGTACCAAAATTTGGTCAAATTACGTATTTTCGAGTCCCAAAGTCAGTACACAGACAAAATTTTCATCTGTAATTCACTTTAAAATGGCTGGCAAGCTTAAAAGTGAGTGTTTTGTGGTGCTGATAAGAAAAAGAGACCCCCATTTTAGATTTTCTATGTGTTATTTAAGCATTTTCGACTTACGACCACTTCGGCTTACGACCTGGATGTCGGTCCCTAACCCTGTCGTAAGTCGGGGAGCAGCTGTATTGGGTAAATTTTAACTTTTGGTCATTCCTGTATTTAGACATGCAGATGATGTTTTTTCTGGTGGTTTGCGATGTGTTATGAACGATTTGGACCTTCATTTCTTTCGGAAATCACTAGTTTTAAGTTACTCCCCCCACTTACCAATGTATGTTAACCCTTAGGCCCCGGGTGACGTTCCAGAATGTCTGCCTATTCTCACCATTTTTTTAAGTTGATTTTTTCTCGATTTATCCCTGCACAGAGGGGAGGGGAGGAGGACTGCCAGGGGCTTAAGGGTTAAGCTAACCTTATAACTAATCATACCTTAACCTATGATCTGTATTTTCTTATGCGATCAAAAAATGTTTTGCAACAGAAATCCTGTAGAGATAAAATGACTTATTGTTTAAAGTACTTAATCCCATAGTTAAATTCGTAAGGTTCCCCAGATGACCAAAACCCAAATAATACCAATATTTTTGGAATGTTTATACCAAGAAATTTGATGTATGGGCAGCTAATATCCATTGAATTAATTTAGGTAATTAGTGGTATTTATATATGTATAATAGTATTACTGTGTTGCACAGTAAAGCCTAATTAATTATCTAGTAATATTTATTTACAGAGCTGATCAGCTGAGAAGGTTGGACAACTACAGCTGGCTGCCTCTCGCCCAAACCAGTGACGTCACAACCAATCACAGAGCTTTTCACAGTCACGTGACCTTTTAGCAACTTTAACCCTTATTTTTTACACTTTTTGGCTTAATTTATTTTAAAATATCATTACCATAGTGAATTTAAGGGCTTTCTTTACTCATTGACCCACCATCTTACGAAAAATTTCCGACCGTCAACTCGTCCATTAGTTCCACAGTCACTCGTTAACTGAATCTATTATTTCAATGGGATATTAGGTAATTGGTTCCAACTCACAGAATTCCCTTTAAATTAATTTATAAGTACATACAAAGTATTGTATACCAGCAATAGAATTAACCAAACATTAAATATAAACAAAATACAGTACTGTACAGTATCTGTACAATAATAAATAAAAAACAATAAAATATTTTAACACTTACTTTGAGGTGTGTATGTAGAATGTTGATGGTTGCGTTGGAAGGTGGAGGAGGAGGAAGATGAAGGGAAGTGGGAGTGGAGGAGGAGGAGAAGGGAGAAGAGAAGCATTATAATGCTTCTTTGAAGGTAAATCACCTTCCATAATCATGTCAGAAACCTCTGGAGTGACAGATTCTCTCACATGAAAATCCTCTGTCTTCCTCTCCATAAAGGATTATGGAGAGGAAGACCGAGGGAATCATCTTTCTCATGCTGCCTTTTAGAAAAACAATGCTAAACAAAGAACCAATTGGCGGACGAGTCGATCAGCTGATTTGCGCACCAAAACGTGTTTCTCTTAAGGGTGTCGTTAATAGAACTGAAAGTCCTTATCGGAGGTAACTCGTGAACTGAAATCTCGTGGATTAAACCGTTTGCTAATGGAGGGTCCATGTACATTCTCTTAATGGAGGGGTGTGTGGCTTAATGGAGGGATCTGTAGCTTCAATGAAGAGATCTGTGTCTTAAGGGAGAGATCTGGGGTTTATTGAAGGATCTGTGGTTTAATGGAAGATCTGTGGTTTAATGGAGGATCTGTGGTTTAATGGAGGATCTGTGGTTTAATGGAGGATCTGTGGTTTAATGGAAGGGATCTGTGGTTTAATGGGGAGATCTGTGGTTTAATGGAAGATCTGTGGTTTAATGGAGGATTTGTGGTTTAATGGAGAGATCTGTGGTTCAATGGAAGATCTGTGGTTTAATGGAGGATCTGTGGTTTAATGGAGAGATCTGTGGTTTAATGGAGGATCTGTGGTTTAATGGAGGATCTATGGTTTAATGGAGGATCTGTGGTTTAATGGAAGGGATCTGTGGTTTAAAGGAAGGGATCTGTGGTTTAATGGGGAGATCTGTGGTTTAATGGAAGATCTGTCTGTGGTTTAATGGAGAGATCTGTGGTTTAATGGAAGATCTGTGGTTTAATGGAGGATCTGTGGTTTAATGGAGAGATCTGTGGTTTAATGGAAGGGATCTGTGGTTTAAAGGAAGGGATCTGTGGTTTAATGGGGAGATCTGTGGTTTAATGGAAGATCTGTGGTTTAATGGAGGATCTGTGGTTTAATGGAGAGATCTGTGGTTTAATGGAAGGGATCTGTGGTTTAAAGGAAGGGATCTGTGGTTTAATGGGGAGATCTGTGGTTTAATGGAGAGGTCTGTGGTTTAATGGGGAGATCTGTGGTTTAATGGAGAGGTGTGGTTTAATGGAGAGATGTGTGGTTTAATGGAGATATCTGTGGTTTAATGGAGAGATCTGTGGTTTAATGGAAGAGATTTGTGGTTCAAAGGAAAGGATCTGTGGTTTAATGGAGATCTGTGGTTTAATGGAGATCTGTGGTTTAATGGAGAGATCTATGGTTTAATGGAGGATCTATGGTTTAATGGAGGATCTGTGGTTTAATGGGGATCTGTGAATGGGAGGGATCTGTGGTTTAATGGGAGGGATCTGTGGTTTAAAGGAGAGATCTGTGGTTTAATGGAGGGATCTGTGGTTTAATGGAGGATCTGTGGTTTAATGGAGGGATCTGTGGTTTAATGGAATGGAGATCTGTGGTTTAATGGAGGGATCTGTGGTTTAATGGAGAGATCTATGGTTTAATGGAGGATCTATGGTTTAATGGAGGGATCTGTGGTTTAATGGAGGGATCTGTGGTTTAATGGGAGGGATCTGTGGTTTAATGGGAGGGATCTGCGGTTTAAAGGAGAGATCTGTGGTTTAATGGAGATCTGTGGTTTAGTGGGGGGATCTGCAGTATAATGGAGAGATCTATGGTTTAATGGAGGATCTGTGGTTTAATGGAGAGATCTATGGTATAATAGAATGATCTGTGGTGGTGTAATGGAGGGGTGTGTGGCTTAACAAAGGGATCAAAATTTTACCTGTAAGTTGTATGGGGTGATGACGGCAATATCATTCTCAGGTACACCTGCAGATATAAGAGTTTTAACCTGGTGGCTGGCTATGATGGCTTCACTCCTGTTCCCTTTACTCTGGTCATCCGAAGTGTCCAACTCCCAGCACTCACAACCAGCTGTGTCAATCAGTACCAAAGCACTTTCTGAAAAACAAGGATATTATAATTAGAGCCTGTACATAGTTCCCTTGGTTTTTGATGGTCAATTCCAAGTTGGCATTTGTAATGACTTATTACTTAACAGTTTGCTCGGAAGTTGAAAAAATAAATAAAAATTTAGCATTAAAAAAAAAAAAAGACGGCTGTATTCCATTACATTAAGCATAAAATATTGAGCAAAATGAGACCAAAATTGTCCACCAAACTAGCAACAGTCAAGACCCAAATAATTACCCACTATTGTTATTATAATTATAATTATAATAATAATAATAACAACAATAATAATAATAATAATAATAATAATAATAATAATAATAATAATAATAATAATAATAATAAATACACAAATAATAATTCGTGTATAAACGAATGCTGGTGTGTTATGAACATAGATATTTTCACTATGAGCCGTGAGTAGGGCTCCCACTTTTGGGGGAAAAGTTCCTAGATCGGGAAATTTGAGTAGATTTAAGGAAAAATCTACGGAAATGGTAAATTTGGGGAAATTGCCGATAAATGTCATTATTATGAAAAGACCTATGCTTATTAATCCAAAGACTACATTAGTTTCCTTAAGAAAAAATATAAATAATTCCTATACAGTGGTGAGTGAAATGGTCTACACTCAAAGATTGCATTTTCATTCTTGTATAATAAATATATACAAAATAGAAACTAGGTTAACAGTGCTGAAAGGACCTATGCTTATTATTCCAAAAACTACAATTCCATTAAGTTTAACAGTGGTTAGTGAATTATATACTTATTACAAAAGAAGGTGTTTTTCATAATACAGGTTTAAGACTTCATTCGAGCCATTTTTCCAAAACAGAACAGTTCTCCATTGTAAGTAACTTACTAATTTTCTGCCTGTTAGTGCGTATATCAGAGAGAGAGAGAGAGAGAGAGAGAGAGAGAGAGAGAGAGAGAGAGAGAGAGAGAGAGAGAGATTTTTTGCATATAGGTTTATAAAAATTACATACAAATATAATATAATGCATAATTATAATAATTAAATTACGATAATTTTTTTTTTGGGGGGGGTGATCTCGTTAGTCTGTGGAATTCAAGGCTATGCTTTGTGGGAGCCCTGGCCGTGAGGCGCCAGGCATCCTATACCGTCTGGGGGTTGAGAATTAAAATGAGAAGGTAGATCATAAATAGAATTGCCAGTAGCAATATTAAGGACATCAGCAGTACTGTTGTACCATTATCTTAAGTATCAATGACAGCATTAGTGTCTTATAGTGATAGCAGGATGGCCTTAACATAAAAATCTACAGCAATGACAGTGTAAACTACCAACAACAGATACAACAAGAGCAGTACCATAAACAGTATAAGCAGCATCAGTAACAACAGTAATAAAAATACAATCTTCAGTATCAGTGACATCGAAAACCACACCAGGACGCGGTAACAGCCTCTTGAATAACAACTTAAGACGGGAAGCTTATATACCAGTTTTGTCATGTCCTCATTTAACCAGGGTGTTGTCATTCACCATTAGACTCGCCTGTAAGTACATGCAGCAGAACTTCACATTATTTACAACCTCTACCACGACCAGTACACCATCACCAAGGCGGGGTCTGGCGTAAGCTCTCCTTGCACTTGGTGCGGGAATGCATAATAGGAAAGGAAAAAAAAATGAAGCATTCCCCAAGGTAGGCAAGATTACCCGCCCCACCGGCAAGACCACATAGTATTCATGAACTGCCAACGACGTCCTGGAGCAACAGTCATCCTCATTATTCTAAAAGGTGTTCTTGCAAGGCAAAGAAAACTCACATAGAAGAAGCCAGACATAAAACTATATTAACGGTACTTCAACCACCTCCTATTTCATAACCAAACACCCTAATGCTAACCTAGCCTTACATATCAATATAATCTAACCTAAATCCCCATTTATCGTTAACGTGTTTAGTCATCAGATGAAAGAAGAAGGGGGTTCCTAATCTTTACGAGATCCCAAAATAGAATCGACAATAAAAAAAATACCACCCAAAAATAACTACGGAAACCACTTTTCAGTTTTACCAGACTTAATACTTGTCACATTAATGTTAATTATTACATCCGGCACGTACCAACGATGTGCAAAATCTCATAGAAATATAGGCAGTGAGGATTCAAAGTAGTTTATTCGTGTAACTATCCACTTAGTCGTGAGGTTCTCCAAGGTAAAACTACATTCTACACATACAAAGACAGGTTCTACCAACGGGAAAGCCGATAAGGGATAGGTGTGGTAGGAGAGGGTAGGAGGCGATTTAAGCCATCAAGGATTCTCATGCTCCGACGAGTTCTTAGCTGAGTACGCGTATGGTAACAATAACGATCATGCGTCATCATTTACAACAATACCAAAAATTAGTAACTGACCATACGTTTAAATTTTATTAACTTCAAAAGTACAGTATTTTAAACAATGTTGCCCTAGAAAATATATATTCAATATAAAGAAAGAAATAAGTAAAAATATGAACATTAGTTTCACAGCTCACTAGAGGCCTCAACTATGTACGGAAATACAACTCTCAAGTTTGGCAGAGGTTAACGACTATAATTATGAGTTACCAACCTGCCGTACATAATAATACGTAGATAATAATAATGAACATCCTGCCACCGGTATCCTCAAGGAGGAATTCTATCCCAATGAAAAGGTGAAGGATATAAACCAAATGATAGCGAAGGTCAACAACACCTCACTATAGGACACACTATATCATGTGAATTAATTGTATAGAAATAGATAATTAAACGAGGCTCAAATTTTATATATTTTTAAGAAAGTTTGTATTTTACCCTCTTCCATCAAATCGAATATGCACTATATAAATATAAACATGAATCCAGGATGAAAATTAGATAATGGCCACGTAACCACACACAAAAAACGTGGACCAGTCGGGGAGACTGCAATGGCACAGCGCGCAAGTGAGTCCAGTTGTTTGTTGGTGAGGTTCACCACGTGGTGTGCCCAGTGCGTGTGTCAGCGTGCCTACAGGACACACCTCCTTGTAGCCTCCTCAGTCCACCTATTCACGAAGCCTTCTACAGGTTAGATCTTTACAATATACTTAAGTGAACATCATTAATAAGGATTTTTTCTACCTTACACCAGGACCCCTTATTAAACCTTGTCTTCACGTGATCTACTTACACCACCTACCAGGAAACATTCATACCGGGGCCACAAACTAAACTTTTCTGATACATATATCTTCTCCCTAACCACAACCCATATGAGTTAACTCCCTCACGCAACGTTAAGTGTAGTGGCGCCATCTACTGTACCTCTGTAAAGTTACTTCTCCAACTCCCTCCCTCACTGCCAGAACAAATTGTACACCTCTTTTAGTCCCCCATCACAACACCTCAGTGAAGATTGTCGGTGGACACGTCCTTCATGGTAGTAGACAGGTGTATAACAAGAGTGCCTTCATGGTAGTAGACAGGTGTATAACAAGAGTGCCTTCATGGTAGTAGACAGGTGTATAACAAGAGTGCCTTCATGGTAGTAGACAGGTGTATAACAAGAGTGCCTTCATGGTAGTAGACAGGTGTATAACAAGAGTGCCTTCATGGTAGTAGACAGGTGTATAACAAGAGTGCCTTCATGGTAGTAGACAGGTGTATAACAAGAGTGCCTTCATGGTAGTAGACGGGTGTATAACAAGTGCCTTCATGGTAGTAGACAGGTCTATAACAAGAGTGCCTTCATGACAGGTCTATAACAAGGCATATATTGTTAATGAACAGGTGTATAACAAGAGTGCCTTCATGGTAGTAGACAGGTCTATAACAAGAGTGCCTTCATGACAGGTGTTTAACAAGAGTTACCTTCATGGTAGTAGACAGGTGTTATAACAAAGTGCCTTCATGGTAGTAGACGGAGTTATTATAACAAGAGTGCCTTCATGGTAGTAGACAGATTGGCCTTAACAAGAGTGCCTTCCATGGTAGTAGACAGGTCTATAACAAGGTGCCTTCATGACCTTGGGTGGTGTTTAACAAGAGTGCCTTCATGGTAGTAGACAGGTGTATAACAGGGAGTGCCTTCCTTGGTAGTAGACAGGTCTATAACAAGGGGTGCCAGCTTCATGGTAGTAGACGGTGTATAACAAAGTGCCTTCATGGTATTGGTGAGTGTATAACAAGGAGTGCCTTCATGGTAGTAGACAGATTATAGCAGGAAATGCCTTCATGGTAGTAGACAGGTCTATAACAAGAGTGCCTTCATTGTAGCGACAGGTGTATAACAAGATGATGCCTTCATGGTAGTGAACTTAGATTATTATAACAAGAGTTAACGCTTCATGGTGGTGAACAGGTCTATAACAAGAGTGCCTTCATGTGGTAGTAGACAGGTGTATAACAAGAGTGCCTTCATGGTAGTAGACAGGTGTATAACAAGAGTGCCTTCATGGTAGTAGACAGGTCTATAACAAGAGTGCCTTCATGGTAGTAGACAGGTGTATAACAAGAGTGCCTTCATGGTAGTAGACAGGTCTATAACAAGAGTGCCTTCATGACAGGTGTTTAACAAGAGTGCCTTCATTGTAGCAGACAGGTGTATAACAAGTGCCTTCATGGTAGTAGACAGGTGTATAACAAGAATGCCTTCATGGGAGTAGACAGGTGTATAACAAGAGTGCCTTCATGGTAGTAGACAGGTGTTTAACAAGAGTGCCTTCATGGTAGTAGACAGGTGTATAACAAGAGTGCCTTCATGGTAGTAGACAGGTGTATAACAAGAGTGCCTTCATGGTAGTAGACAGGTCTATAACAAGAGTGCCTTCATGACAGGTGTTTAACAAGAGTGCCTTCATTGTAGCAGACAGGTGTATAACAAGTGCCTTCATGGTAGTAGACAGAAAGGCAGACAGAGAAGAGGAACTTCATATGTGTAGACAGCCAGACAGACAAGATGAACTTAATGTTTAGAGAAACAGACAAACACAAGACGTTAATAAAAAGCACAATTACTTTCCACAACTTGCAAGAAGATATTTTATAACACGTAACTTTTTGGAGCAATCTTATTTATTTTTCTTCACCTGTTTTTCTTTAACCCCCACGATGCCAGTGGGGGTCTATTAGCTTATTCTACTAAATATATGTCTGTCTGCTAGTCCGTCAGCAACTTTCCCTTACCACTCAAAACTCATAACACACGAGGTTAGAGGCCAGTGAGCCAAAACCAGATATCAGGGTTTTTTATCCTAGTTCAACATGAATGGCTGCGTGGTGGACACACCGGTTGGGGGATGTACTACAGTACGATACAGTTTGTGTGGCCAGGCGATGATTTGTGTGGCGAGGCGATACAGTTTGTTATGGCCAGGCGATACAGTTTGTTCCTGACCTCACTGTGGAATGTTTGTGTTTATCCCCCGTGAGGGATTTATTTTTCCGAGTGCGGGTATTCCCTTTGACCACTGCTAAATAAAAACATTAAAACTATGGTGAAATTGTGAATAAATAAATAAATAAATAATTATGTATTAGTCATATTTATCAGTTCATTAAATTATATAGGTCTGTGGTGAGGTGTTTAAGGAGTGTTGACAGGTACCGGGTGATGAAAATGACTCTTGGCAGGCAAAAATTTTGTCTCGTAAAATGTTTAATAAAATATGCCTGTGTTGTTTTATTGATTCATACACTTATGTATGTATTGAGAGAGAGAGAGAGAGAGAGAGAGAGAGAGAGAGATCATAACATCATCTTCAACGCATTTGCCTGCCTGAGGTATCTTAGTCTCTGGCCTCGTCTCGCTTCGGGGCGACAAGAAGACGACCACCTCCACAAACCCTTGTTAAAGTGGGGCTAAATCAACTGTCCTTTTTAGCGCCCTTGTCTACCCAGGAAAGGGGGGGAGGAAGGAGAGGGAATGAAGTGAGGAGAGAGAGATGGAGTGGAGTATGAGGTGGGGGAGGGAAGTAAACGAGGAGAGATGGAGCATGAGAAGTGGGGAGGGAGTAAACGAGGAGAAAAGATGAGGTATGGGAAGAGGGGGGATAGAAGAAGAAACAGATGAAAAGATGTCACTATGTAGTCCTGAGTCATACCACAACCCACCACCATAACTATGCAGGGTACGACCACCACCTCTCACATCATCACCACTGGTGGTCAAACAGGTATAACGAGATTAAGACGGACCCACCAGGGCAACTTCCTCTTGGTGGTGTAATACAGTATTCAAGATGACAAACTCGTTCAGGCGTGGGATTATCGTAGTGTAGTGCGATATAATTATACTGGATTAATTAAAAGGATAATACATTAAATGAGGTGAAACAGCATGAGTGTGTGTGGAATAGAACTATACTTATGGCATATATATTGCCAACGTTTTGTAATCACTTTGTGTATACAAGGTAAAACTGTATAAATGACGTCATATACCAACGGGCCTTTAAACAAATGATGGTTGAACTATTGTTTTGCAACTGCTCACTCGTAACTTAATAATGCAGTAAATTATTGGCTTCAAAACAGCCACGAACAGTTCTAGTAGTGGTGGCCAGTACAGTAGGTCAGGGAATTAGACTGTCCACAGACGCCACCATAAAAAAATGTTTTAAGATGTGACAATAAGAAACTGGACCACGAGCGAAAGGCAAGACTCAAGGCCAACACCAAACCTTCATTTGTATGTTTAAACTACACAATCGCCTTTATCAAATAACCATTACGAGACTCGATTTTTCTTAAACAGAAAATTATCAACTCTATACAGTAAGTTCAGGACCAGCAAACAAGTTTAAGATTCCTCGAGCGGTCCAATGGAGGGTCTTGACCAGCGTAAACTCCACTAAAGGAGGAGGGACGGGTAGCAACAGGATTCCAGTTGAGTAAAACGGCGTAGCTATCAGTGCAACAACAGGTCACAGCATCATCATTTGTGGATAATAATTAATAACAAATAAAATAGTTATAATATATTAACGAGGGATTGATGGTGTTACAAGTGCTCGATGTTCACCACAGTTCAAGTCAGTTAACAGCTTTCAATGAGCTGTAATAGTACACCAATATTAACTGATGCTGACCAATTTTATGTATGAGAGAATTTGTCATATGATAACTTACATTATTTATCTCAAAAAATTTTATATAAAATAACTGTGTACAGGAATATATAAAACACGAAATAAAAGAATACCAGATAGAATCCCTCTTAAGACCGGTTCATGTTGCTTCAATAATACAATTAATAACGACTCAGTATTAGGGCCATTTACTATGTTTCCAGAAATTACACAATACGTTTTCCAATTGTTAAAACGAACTGGAGAAAATAAACTCTTAGAATGCCTCACACCACCGTAAAGGGATCATACACTTAACAAATACGCCAAACATATTAAGAAATTAGCGGCATAATACATGTGTGACCAATATAAGAGTGGTGACAACACTCCCGGCACAACACACATCACACTCACAGGTCTGCCTGTCAGCAACAATACTCTTAGTACATCATATAATGTACAAAAACTGATTTTTTGTGTGTGTGTGTAAAATTTATGGTTTGTGTATTACGGTAGGTCTTGACACCGCCTCGGGTTCTATGGAGACATGCTGCTCCCTCCCCCACCATCAGTAACTGGGAATACTAACCCTTGTTATGCCGCCGCCGCCAAAAGCTTGAAATAATAGAATCGCCCCTTCACGTGTACTGTAATAGTAAAAATAGTCAATAGGTACCAATAGTATAATAAAAGGTGGTACAATAACAATGGTGCCCCTCGTCTAACAAGGATGGCCGGCCCAAGGGCCAGCTAGGCGTGAATTTGTTTAAGGTGTAGAAGCTGTCACCAACACAACAACCACACCCTAAGTTAACGAGTTGCATGACCCAGTGTAAAGGAATAGTCCGAGAAGACCAGACAACATGTTCTTAACTCGCCAACTGCACTGGTTAACCCTGGAATACGATCATCAAATCGATTAACATCCAGGACCCCAATTGCTGCTGGGTAGACAAAGGCAAATGGCGTAAAGAAACTTGCCCATAGTTTCACCCTGCCCGGGGATCGAACTCAGGT